ATACATTAGTAGATAGGCGTACACCGATCAGATACAGGGCACACCCGCCCTGTACGCCTATCTACTAGAATAATACGTCGACACATTAGCGAAAAGTCAACTGGAAAATAAATGAATAGAGATACACACTTACAGGTCATTGCGTTGTTGATAGAGTGTGTCAATTATGGGCAGTCCATAGCAGAGGACATGCGAAATGCTCTTTTGCGCTGTAATGTAACCAATAGCCCAAACGCCCGGATTGTTTACACTTATACGAAAGTAGAAGCTGAAACAAGAACATTCATGCAGCAAGAGGGATAATACCAACCGCATTATGACTTAAAAAACAGCAAATTTAAACGCCATTTTGCTTAATGCAATATAAATGAGACATGAGAGGTACATATAAATTTTGGGAATGCCTGTCTCTCGCACCATAACAGGCGGAATGTTTGAGAGGATACAGCAACTGAATTCGTATACTAAACAAAATCGATATAAAACAACAAAGTCATAGTAAAATGCCACCCGGGCTAATCAATAAGGTGAGCACGTTAAAACACACAGTGGAAAGCGCAAGTGTAGGAAAACGCTTGAGGCGAAGGAGGGGAATGTGTAAATCTGGGAGCCAGATAATCTCTATAACTGATGAAATACTTACAGGCTTTGCATTTGCATCAGGGGAAAATGCCGCAAATATGATGAGTGCTAAAGATGAATACTTTAAAATCCATTACCGACATTGGCTAACTTTTATTTTACACAACTCAGAAGCTAATACACTCATAACTTCTTCCCCACACCTTAGATGTCGTGGATGTTGAAGTTTGGATTTATTCTGCTTGACCTAGAAAGCAGCAGTGGCGTACTTTTTTCATTCATTGCGTCAGGCTTGCCGTTTTCAGCACACGCGTAAGCTGAGGCGTGGTCATGAATGATACAAAGCTGCACTCTGTTAGGAGTTCCTGCCAGATGGATGCAGCCCCACCCTAAAAACCGAATTTGCGGCTCTCCAGAAACAATGTAAATGTCGCAAGTTAATGTGAGAAATACCACTCGAAATAATATGAAAATATAATTGAAAACAAGAGAGGATGAAATAATAATCAACCACTACAACTTAACCACACAGAGAAGTCAGCGACGAAGTCAATTGCATGAACGATGAAAAATCAGGGACAGAGACATGGAGATCAAAAAATTTCCTTTACGTAAAGCTTCGTGAATCACTTAAAACCCGTCCATAATATTGCTTTAAAAATTGCATGTTTAACCGCGCAGATTAATCCTTATTGCAACAACCCACACCAGCGAATTCCGCTAAAGCTATTCAGATGTTGCGCTTAGCTCAGAAGCAATAAATGAAAATCTGGTGGGATTTGTCGCATGATATGTAAGCCACAATTGTGGAAGATGTTTTAAATTAAAAGCAACTACGTAGGTAAACGGTACTAAGTTAAATTGTGCACAAATTTGTAGTAAGGCTAAAATTACAATGGGAGGCGGTGTTTTTTATTTTTGAAAAAGTAGGGCCTTTGAGTTGATGTTTGTGGAGATTTATTATGGTTAAAGATGGTGAAAGTGACAGCTGCTTTTTATATGGATACGGAAATAGGTTGACGGCACTTGGTGTTGTAATTCATCTCCCTGCAGGTGAATACTGATAATCTTGCTTCCTATTCCAGTGGGTCCGTCACGGAGCCGTATACATTTGCGTTTCTCGCGTTCGGTGTGACACTTTCCTGCCTTCTAGTCACTAGTGGCGCAGGACTTTGTACACCGCGATAACGTCTAAGTGCTTGTTGGCATCTGAGTACCATGCCTCAAGCGTCAATCATTCCAATTTTAAGTTGCCTCGCCCTACAATGGTCAGTCTTTGAATTTAAAGGTGAAGCCAGTCTCTCCATTATGTGCGACAAGCTGCAATTTTGTGTCAAGTTTCTGAGCCGCTAGTTGGTGTTCGTGTAAGTGGGTCTGCAATTTCACCCTGTGTCTCTAACAGCATTGCAGTACCCGTCGCTGCAACCTATCTTGTAAACAACTGCGGGTACGTTAGTCAGGAGGCAGTCTGCTTTACGTTGCAAAACATGTTGGCGTATTTTTGCTTTAGGTTGATAGACTATGCATAATACCGTGGATTATAGTATTTGAGAGACAATAAAACTCGTTTGGGTGTGCATAAACGTGACTAAATATTCATATCCCGCAATTCTGACATTTAAAAACTTGAACTATAACTTATCGCCCAAAAGCAGTATACAAATGTACATGTCCTACCTGATATTTATAGGAAAAAAAGCAATAATTGACAAACACTCTCTTACCTGCCAGGCTTATCCTTCAGCTCTTTCAGTTTTTCCGCAATGAGACTGGATGTCGCGTGTTTAACATAGGCTGGATGCTTTATGAGTGCTTTGTGGACGTTGTAGCATTTTTCCCACGGCGAAAATAGTCTACAAAGAAGGGTTTCTGTCAGACGTGATAATAGGTCTGTCAAAAGCAACAGGAGCTAAGGCCTAATCCCCCTCGTTCGAATATATTCATATATGGTAAATTCACTTGCTTCCCCATCGAAGAACCGTTAGCAATAAAAGTTTAATATGTCGTTAGTACGTGGACTGATAGCTAGTGTTCAGACTCCTCACCTGGTAAAAAGATCAAGCGCGTACTTGGACACGTAGAACTCGGAGGTGAAGGACATTGTTTCAAATAAATCCTTATAATCCTTTTGGAATCGAACATGTTTAGCGAGAAATGCCTTAAAAAACTCGTCTTTCGGAACGATGACGCTGAAATATAAATTTAAATATATGATGTGGTTAGCTTGAAAACCAAAGGGAGGGACAGTACACAGCATATTTTTCGTGATGGAATTCCTCTTACTTAGTAATTGTAGATCACAAACAATATTTGATTGTAGTTTTGCTAGTTAGCTTAAAAACCAAAAGGGGCACAGTTGGCATTAAGCGCTGCGACGGGGATTGAAAATGCTTTTAAATTGGCGTTCCGCATTTCGTGCAGTTATTTTTAATTAATTAATTAATTCTTAATTATCGCGCACTTTTTTGTTGTCAAAGATAAGGTGATTAAAAATATATTCCTTTTATTTCGCTCAACTTTGTTAACCTTTTGTTCCTTCTTCTAAAAGCCCCTATCCATCTAATCCGTATTTCTACCGGTCAGGAATTACAGAATGCGGGGGTTTTTGCGTGCTGTAGTGAGCCCGAAGTCAGATTGTTAACGTTTTCTGTTTAAATATTTTATTTAAATGACTTAATTATCCTCAGAGTCTCCAAAAGTAAGACTCTGTAGATTGCCTTTTAACATTTGCATAGGATTTAGTAGACGTTTTTGTTGCGGTTGTTATTTGGACCAGTTCTGGAACATTAAAAGAAGTGGAGTACTCAGTAAAATAGATGTTGCATTTATTCGAAGTATTACACAATATAACAGTTTTTTGTATTATATCAAAAATAGGTGTGGGATATATTAGTAAGACTGGTCAACTAATTGTAGGTCCAGTATTCTTTAAATGATTCAGAAATTCATGACATGTGAAGATATCCTTAATGAGGAAAAGATTATTTGCTCAAATGCGAATCATAACTTTACGTTAACAGGTTGCTACTAAAAATATCGATGATGATATTAAAAAACAACACGAAGTATCTGAATTTGACGTTATAACGATGCATTTATTGCTCCGATTTCGGAAAACATAAACAACTTTGTGAATACTTTTCCACTTCATCCACGTGAACATCTTCCACTTGTGGATCCGGCTACACCGAAACACATACTTTACATGAATTTTATTTCTCGGTGGGAAATATTCGTGTAGTGCATAGTAGTGTATCCAACAGGAAGGAAGATAGGCTTTAAATTATACTGCTATTCAGGACTGAAACATTGGGCTAGTACTTGACTTCGTTGCTCAACCCAAAACTCAGTCATATTCCACACTATTTTTTCTCCCGAAAATGTGGTTTCGTGAGTTTGCAGCAGAGTTGTGGGGCGTATTTGAAGTTTAGGTGCTGTTCCTTTGCAGCCCTAGTGAACTTTAGATTTATTGCACCTTCTCATGAACCGCTTATCGTGTCAGGGTCACGTGAATGGAAGTAAAATGAATCCATGACAAGCATAAAAAATTATTCCTTATGATTGCCCGCGAGAAGAGACCAAATACAGGTTTCTATAAGAGGCCTGTTTAACCTTCAGTGAACACGCTATTTTGCTTTTTTGTACAGCCGAATTATGACTTTCATGATCGTCTCTGTCAGAATCTCAGGCAAGTTATAGTACTATTTTGCTAACCAGTCCGGATATAGAAATGCATTACAGGATTTGAACAAATGTGGCATTTGTTTAAGAGCAATCACAAATTACCTAAATCCTTACAGTAGAATGCCACATAAACTCTGGCGCACTGTGAACACTCTACATGGGAAAGAGCTAAATATTACATTGATAAACTTAAATTTACCTTTAAACTATCTTAATTTTACAATCACAACGTATAATAGCAAGGGCCTTCCAGGAGAGCATCCGAAGCCAAACTGTCGAATTATTATATGAGATCAAAAATCTTACGCAGACCACTGTCTAGTTTACTTTCGAGTTTAGTGCATAAAAATAGAGTCTGCTCCTATTTTTTTCTTATTTTTTCAATAAGTCAGGGGTACCCGTTGCATCTCATTTATCAGGACTGATCGCGGAAACCATATTAAATTAATATCATGTAGGCCGGGTAGTTAAGCCTATCCTATATGTTCCGTTCTTGGTCCAAAATGTGCCTCCGTACGCGCCCGCGGGGAAAAAACGAAGGAGAGCCACCAACGCTCTGGTACTTTCTAGCGTACATAAAAATGTGTCAGAAGCAACTGAGCGTATCGCTGCAGATTTCAGTGTGGGTATTGCTCATCGCCCGACAGCTGCCATGCATTCAAGATTCATTAAAATAAAAGACTTACTGGATGTATGTGAACAGTCTGGCGTCGTTTATCAGGTGCCATGTCGCGACTGTTATTGCCATTATAGAGGGCAGATCGGACGACGATTTAGCTCCGAATAACGGAGCACAAACGGGCAGTGCGTAGAGGCGACGCACTGTCCCAGATCGCTACCCTCACCCTAGAAGGAGGCTACGAATTCGACTCCTCGGGCAAACGGATAATGGCACGCGCTTCTAATAAGACGGAGCGAGAACTACTGGAGGCCTGGATATCATACTCCCACTCCATCAACAGGCATGTGGATATACCGCCCTGTTATTTTGCCATCCGTGCTCATGACCAGAAACAACGGCCCAGTTCCTGTCCAAGGACGCAGACTGTCACGTCAAGGTCACACGCCACAACCCCAGGGGCGCGCGTAGGGGGGACACGATAAGATGGCGTCAGCATGGACGTGTCGTGTCGGGAAGTGCCACTCCTTCCCACCCTCATTTACGCGTAGCCAACGTTTGCTGCTTTCTCATTTTCTCTGACGATGGCTCCTCGTGTGGATCTGAAAGCTCAGAAGAATAAAATTGCCGTTCCTGAGAGCGCGTCTTCTCCTTCTTCTTTACAAAAAGAACCTGGGGCACGGATATTTGCTTCTATTCTTGTCTATGAATTTACATGCACCCACGGATTCAATTATATTGGACAAACGCAACGGCAACTGGCACCCAAATCTCTCGAGGGCCTGCCTAGATTGCTTTTAAAGCAAGAAAGCAGATCTCAGCGTTCTTTCGTTAGTAAATATTGGCTTGACGCGAGTTACCCTCTGAACCCCAAAACATCCTTCCGATTACT